CCCGCGGTGGGGATGTCCTCCGGTGCGGTGCGGGGTCGGCCTCCCGCCTCGCGCCAACGTCAAGGTCTCTGACTCGCCTCCGCACGATCCTGTTTGGGGACTGCGGTTGTTAAGTGACAGTCCACAGTATCGCATGTCGGAAAACAGATGGCTTAAGCCAAGGCCACCGGCACACAACGCGGAGGTCCTCACCTGTCCGCTCTACCTGGCGGGCAGATCAGCTTAGATTGACAGCCCGTGGCAGGACTGACCTAGAAAAACGCCTCTGAGCACTTCTGATTTGACATAGCACCACAGACGGAGGAGCCTATCTATGTTCAGGAAAATGAAACCCTGTCAACATACGTGTACACACACACACAGCGTACCTTAGCCATAGTAATCAGTATGTTGTGACAGAAAGACTGACACAGTGACAGGATAGCTGGGTAGTGTCTGCAGCTGACATTTGCCCCTTGGTCTGACTTTGGTAGTTCTATAGCATGATGCAAGGCATCTTAGGAGCCAAGAGGTACTTTTTTTTTGGGGGGGGGGCCTGAGGGTGCCAGTCGTGGGGCTTGAACTCAGGGCCTGAGTTTCTTTTTTTTTTTTTTTTTTTTGGGGGGGGGGTCCGGTCGTGGGGCCTGAACTCTGGGCCTGGGCGCTGTCCCTCAGCTCTTCAGCTCAAGGCTAGCGCTCTACCACTTGAGCCACAGTGCCACTTCCGGCTTTTTTCTTTTTGCTTATGTGGTGCTGAGGAATCGAACCCAGGGCCTCGAGCATGCAAGGCAAGCGCTCTACCACTGAGCCACCTTCCCAGCCCTAGTACCCTACCTTTTAAGCCAAAGCACCACTTCTGGCTTTTTCTTTTCTTTTTTCTTTTTCTTTCTTTCTTTTTCTTTTCTTTTCTTTTTTTTTTGGCAGTCCTGGGGCTCAAACTCTGGACTTGGAGACTGTCTGAGCTCCTTTTTACTCAAGTCTAACACTCTACCACTTGAACCACAGTGCCACTTCCGGCTTTTTCTGTGATGAATTGGAGGTAGGTCTCACAGACTTTTTTTCCTGGCTGGCTTCAAACACTATTCTTCAGATCTCAGCCTCTTGAGTAGCTAAGATTACAGGCATGATCCACCCACACCCAGCTTTAGGGTATTGTCTATAGTAGCAATGGAGTATTTGTGATCCAATGTACTAGGCAAGGATCTTACATGTACCTAGTATGGCTGCCTTCCAATCAACAGTTGTTTCCTAGGCTTCATTTCTGTTGACTCCACACAGAAGCCCAATTACAAGTCTCTAGAGGACATCAGCACCAACAGTTGCCTTCCAGCTCACAGAAATCCTGATTAGAACCGAATGTACATCTCCTCCTATACATAGTGTTTCAAGACCGTCAGGAAACCACTGGTGATAGAATAAAGTGAAAGGCAGATGGAAATCCATGTGCATAGTGATTAAAGAACTCAAGAAAGAGCGTAAGTAACTTTATTACAGAGCAATAAAACTACCGGATACCACAGCCAATTAGTGCTGCCCTAGATGAATGGTTGTTTTGATCTTCTCTAGATGGTAGAGAAAGAAAGCTTGAATGTGACTGAGTGGGTCTTAAAAAACTTTTAGGTTCTAATTAAGAAGCACCCATGAAAGGTACGCCCATCTTTGCCTGGTGTTGTGCCAGCACTTAAGAGGTTTTTGCTGTGTGTGATGAAAGCTATAAACAGTTATTGGTATGGAGCCTTAGAAAAAACCATGGTTTATACAGAGTTCCTTGCCTGGCTCCAGGCATGATTACTCTGCTTAGTTCTGAAGGCTGTGGCCCACCACCTCAGATCACCCAGGGCAACAGATTCTTGGTAAGGAAAGGAGAAGCTCTTTGATGCAAATTGCAGGGAAAAGTGGTGTATGCCCCAGAACACAGTTCCTCCTAACCAGTTCATTTACAATGAGGCAGGAGGGAAATTTACTGCACTGGAGCTTGCCTGTCACCTTAGTTTTCCAATCCCTGTAGATTGGCATCCTGTTGATCCACAACTGTTCTGAAAGTATAATTGCAAGAGTTCTCAAGCACTTCTCAACTGTCCAATTCCAGGGTCAAATACATGGTTTTCCTTTTCTTGACTTTGCAGCAGTTAGCATCACTGTGGGGCTGGGTGTTGTCCCTTGGCTTTTTCACTCAAAGCTAATGCTCTACCACTTGAGCCACAGATCCACTTCCAGCTTTTGGGTGGTTAATAGAAAATAAGAGTCTCATGGACCTTACCACCTAATCTAGCTTTGAACCACAATCCTCAGATCTCAATCTCCTAAGTGGCTAGGATTACAGTCATGAGCCATCAGTATCCAGCTTGTGGGTTCTAAATTAATCTACTGTCAGTTGTCACTGACAACTTTCCTAATTTCATTTATTGTACATATAGAGAGTTTAGAATGGAGAATTAAAGGGTTCAGGAAATGTTAGCTACCATTTTTTTTGGGGGGGTCCGGTCAAGAGACCTGAACTCTGGGCCTGGGCGCTGTCCCTCAGCTCTTCAGCTCAAGGCTAGTGCTCTACCACTTGAACCCAGCACCACTTCCGGCTTTTTTCTTTTTGCTTTTGTGGTGCTGAGGAATCGAACCCAGGGCCTCAGGCATGCAAGGCAAGCACTCTACCATTGAGCCAACTTCCCAGCCCTTAGCTACCATTTTTATTACAGATTGACCACCCCTAATCCAAAAACTGCAAATCCAAAATGCTCCAAAACCCTCAAACTAGTGCTCCTACAACTTCTACCTCTCAAATATCTGTGATTGCAGGTTTGCACTAACATACTTGGCTTCTAGCATCTTTATTTAACAATACAGTACTGATATATTTGGAAATCTTTTCTTATCAATGCCTATGCATTCCTCATCTTTCAAAATACTTCATAACAATTGAAAGGACAGCTAATTATCACCAGGCCATCATCTGATATGCTTAACACATTAGGAACTGTATTAAACACTTCCAACCTATTTTCTCAGTTACTCCTAAAGACAGCCACAGGATATTTCAGATACCCAAACCACAGCACTGAAAGGTTGTCCAAGATCACATCGTAAGTGCTGGAGCTGAGAATTGAAATCAAGAAATCTTTAAGACCTTCAAGTAACCACTACATGTAAGAAGTGATCTATCATTCTTATTCTTTTTTTTTTTGTCTTTTCTTTTTTGGTACTGGGGATCGAACCCAGGACGTTGCACTTGCTAGGCAAGCGCTTTGCCACTGAGCTACATCCCAGACCAGACGTGATCTATCATTACAATATGTTGCTGAAGGTTTGCATGGGGAAGTCAGTTAAGAGCAATTATGACAGCATGAAACACACTCTACTAAATCCTAAAAAATTCATCGTGGTTCTCTTTACCTGAAGTTTATAATCTCACTGCAGCTATTGCTCTCTCCCCATCCTCTTACTCCCTTCCTCCAAGGTTGCCAAAACATCTGCTCACTTTTTCTTCTTTATGTTCTGTGTCTCTAACTGTTTTTTGACTGGGTAGCCAAGATATTTCCTTATTACCAAGCTTACATTTTTTTTTTTGGGTCGGGGGCCTGAACTCTGGGCCTGGGCACTGTCCCTGAGCTCTTCAGCTCAAGGCTAGCGCTCTACCACTTGAGCCACAGCGTCACTTCTGGCTTTTTTCTTTTTGCTTATGTGGTGCTGAGGAATCAAACCCAGGGCCTCAGGCATGCAAGGCAAGCGCTCTACCACTGAGCCACCTTCCCAGCCCCACATGTTTGTTTTTTTGTCGGTCTTGGGGCTTGAACTCTGGGCTTGGGCGCTGTCCCTGTGCTCTTCAGCTCAAGGTGAGCCCTCTACCAGTTGAGCCACAGCACCACTTCCAGTTTTCTAGTGGTTTATTGGAGATCAGAGTCTCACGGACTTTTCTGCTTGAGCTGGCTTTGAACCGTGATCCTCAGATATCAGCCTCCTGAGTAGCTAGGATTACAGGCGTGAGCCACCAGCGCTTGGCTCCAAGCTTACATGTTTTATCACTTTCTTCTGTCTCCATTCCCCTACAGCAACCTGTTGATGGACAATGCCATCTTCCCTGGGACTCTCCTACCTTTTCATACAACATTTGCTCTCCAACTATGTATTGGGCAATGTCTACATGCCTGGCATTTTTCCAGATGATGGAGATACATTGGTAAGCAAATCAGACTTGCAAAAATTCCGAAAAAAAGCCAATAGACAGGATAAATGAATAAAACAGAGATGATGCAGATGGTGACGGAGGGAAAGTAAAGCAGGGAAGTAATATTAAGAGTGTGGAGGAGGGTGGTAATTTTGGTTTGAGTGACCAAAGGTGGCACTAAATAAAAATCTGAGGTCGTCAAAGATCGTGTGCCAGACAAGCAGAGGCTGAGTCTGAGACTGAGCTTGGAGGACGCTGATTAGGGAGTGCACTCAGGTGGACGTCTGCTGGGGAAGGCAAGGAACAGCCACACCGTGGAGGAAGCGGCTGACTGCAATTCCACCACCAGAGCTCCGGCTAACCTCCTCTCCATGGTCCTTGGCAAACGCTAGCTTGCTTTTTTTTTTTTTGTTTTTAAGTTTTAGCAATGACTTACTTTAGAATAACATGACGAAGTAGTAGGGGGAAATGGATAAAGGAGCGGCGTTTCCTATCCTCCCCGCCTCCACACAAGACCTGGGACTCAAAACCTCCTAAATGTGCGGCCTTTAACTCTAACCGTTCCGTTCCCCAAAGGGACAAGCTGGGGAGGATCAAGACGTGTAGAAAGAAGTTGTGGTCTCAGACTGTGCGGGGCAGTCCGAGGTCCGAAGCTGTGCGGGGAGGAACTGGGCGGTATGAAGCCCAAGGCCGTGCGGGCCCGGGATGGGAGGGAGAGGGGGGGAGCAGCGCCGCGGAGCGGACCCAGGCCCCTGCCCGCCTGGGGCTCTGGACACAGCCCCGCCTCCTTTCATCCGCGGACTCCATTTCCCACAATGCCTGGCGGCGGGGCGGCCGGAAGGCCGTGCGTCCCGCGCGGGGCATGATGGGGGAGTTGGAGCTTTCCATCATGGCGGCTTCCATTTCGGGCTACACCTTCAGCGCTGTGTGTTTCCACAGCGCCAACAGCAACGCAGACCACGTAGGTGCCGGGCCCCCTGCCGCGGCCGTAGAGGCCTTCAGCCTCCACTTTGGACCAGCGCCCGCGGCCAGCCCGGGACAGCTCGCTGCTCTGCCTCCGGGCTCGGGGCGGGCCCGACGAGCCGGTGACCCCGGCGGCTCCCGCCCCCGGCCGGCTCCCGGGTCCCCGGTGGGCCTCTCGGCGTCTTCCGCCGCCGGCTGTCCCGGGCTCGCTGCTCCGGGTGCAGCCAGCCTGCCCCGCCCGGCCCCCGGCAGTGTCAGTGGTCGCCCGGCGGAAACAGCGCCGGCCCCTCCCTGAGAGCCAGGCTTCCGGACCTTCGAGGGGCGCCCGCCCGGGGTCCGCCCGGGGCCGAGGGGCCGGGCTTTGAGTGTAGTGGAAGCACCGGCCCCGCCCGCCGGCCTCGCCCGTTGTCCTGGCGTGCGGTAGGGGAAAGCAGGCTGTCACTGTGCATACTAGTGTGTTCTTCGCCCTGATGGAAAATGGAGAATGTAAATAGGTGTGTGAGGTGCAGGGTCCGTTTGCGTTTCCTTGAGGAAGTTGCATATTTAGTTGTTCAGAGAATGTTCTAAGGCCTAGGTGAAATAGGGAAGTGACAGCTCTGCGTACGAAGGAGAAACGCTTAGGCTTTGGAACCCCCAGGGGAAGAAGGAAAGCTGTTTCAGGATCTTTCATTTTACGAATTGCCTTTTCATGTCACTGGCCTTTGGTTGGAAATTCCTTATGGAAGTGGAGAAGGAGGTCCTGAATTTGGTGGGCATCGCTACCGGGTGCTTTCAAATGGCAAGATTATTTTAAGTGATGCTAATAGGGAATGATTCGTGTTCATTAAATAAGTGTGCGTGTGCACGTGTGTGTGATTGTCATTACAAAGCAAAATTAGGCTGCAGAAGGGAGAACTGAATTGAGTTTGATGTCAGCAGTCTTAGCTTCCATTAATTGATAACTGATTTCACGAGAGTGATTTCATTAGCAAATTTAATGGTTGTAATGCTTTTCATCCCTTCAGTGTTGATGGTAGAAAATTGCTAGGAATATTATACAGTATAGGTTTTTTCCCAAAGGCAACTCTGGGCTTCGGTATTGTAGCCAGCCATTTATTAATGTAGATGGTTTGTGATACTCCTCCTGTCCACAGACTACTGAATGTGGGTTCAGTGATACTTTTTGAGTTTGTATTAGGTGCAAAACCTTGGTATCATAGTTTATGTTTAGGGCAGGATTATGGTAAGAATAAGAACCTACCTGTTGAAAAGTGAATTGTTTTCTTACAAACTGTGTTAAGATGACCATATTATTTATCATCATCATCGAGCGATGATGATGATAGCCATATTATTTGGCTGATGATATTATTATTATTAATATTGTCTGCCATAGGGCTTGGACTCAGGTCCTAGCGTCATCCCTGAGCTCTTTTTGCTCAAAGCTAGCCCTCTACAGACACTTAGAGGCACAGCTCCGTTTCCAGTTTTCTGGTGGTTAATTGGAGATGTCTTTCCTGGCCAGGCTGGCCTTTGAATTGCCATCCTCAGATCTCAGCCTCCTGAATAGCTAGGATTACAGATGTGAGCCATCGGTGCCTGGTTTGTTTAGATTATTATTAATTTAAGAGCTATGCCTTTAATGTCTCATGTTCTAGGCATAATGCTAAATTCATGGAAATTTCCCCCAATCCCTATAGTTTGCAATTGTGTTTTATATAACCATGCCTGTTTATATTAACCTTGTAACAATTATGGATGTTGGATACATAATTCTTGATTTGTTTCTTTGTTCATTTTTGTGCTGGTACTGGGGCTTGAACTCCTTCCACTTCTCCACTCAGTTCTGGTGCTCTACCATTTAGCCACACCTCCACTTCTGGCTTTTTGTTAGTTAATTGGATATAAGAGTGTTTAGGATTTGTCTGTCTGGACTAGCTGTGAATCACGATCCTCAGATCTCAGCCTCCTGAGTAGCTAGGAATATAAGTGTGAGCCACCATCACCTGGCTTAATTTCTCTTTTAAAGTTGAAAAACCAAGAATTTATGTTTATAATTCATACATGTTTGTACTAGGCAAGAGATTAATATAAAACTACACAGTCTGTAGACAAGGCTAGCAAACTTTCTGTAAAGGGCTAAGTAGCAAAAGATAGTAACAATGTAAGATTTGGAAGCCTTGTGGTCCCTGTTGGAACTACTCAACCCTGCTATTGTATGGATCAAACAGCTGTATGGTAGACAATATATGAATGAAGGCGACTGAGTTCTAATAAAGTTTACTTATAAACTCTGAAATTTGAACTTTATGTAAATTTTAACAGTTCATGAGGTATTATTCCTATTTTTATTTTTTCCAACCATTTAAAAATGTAGAAATTTTACTTATCTTGCAAGCTGTACATTATTGGTATTGGACTGGATTTAGCCTCACACTGTAGGTTGCCTACTGCTACTATAAAGTAACAGACTTTGGTAATTCAGACCAGTAGATAAACATACTTAACTTCAGAATGGTTTTATTATTATTAGCACTGATGAGTTATATCTCACCTCATACTTAAGTCTGTTATGGTTACTAGGAAAATAGTGAATGATGAATTAAATTTTAATTTCAAATAAACAACATAATCTTTTTTTCTTTTTTTTGGGGGGGGTCCAGTCGTGGGGCCTGAACTCTGGGCCTGGCTGCTGTCCCTCAGCTCCTCAGCTCAAGGTGAGCGCTCTACCACTTGAGCCACAGTGCCACTTCTGGCTTTTTTCTTTTTGCTTATGTGGTGCTGAGGAATCAAACCCA